AGGATCTGCTCGACCTCAGTGGCTCGCTTTTCAGCGGCTCGCCACGTGGTGAAGGTCTCGAGCTTGATCTTGCGATATACGCGGGAGGGGATACCGCTCAGGTACTTGTCGCGTAGTTCCAGGTCCCCATACCCGGAACGGTCCGCCGGACCCTTGAACAGCGCGGAGAACTCCGCCGCAGTGCGTTTTTCGCGGACCAACTTGTCCGCGCAGAGCTTCGCCAGCTCTACCTGGGCTGCTGCCGCATCGTCGAGATTTCCGAAGCGGGCCTTAAAGGCAGCGGTGAAGGCTGCTTCGTTCCTGAAGGGGGTCGTGATCCCTTGTACTCCCATCTGCACTGATGCGAGTTGGGCGAAGTAGGGCGTGGCCCAGGCGCGGGCGTCGCCATCGAGCAGGCTTAGCGCAACTTGTACCTTAAGCTCAATGGTCGTCAACAACGTGTTGATCAACCAGTAGATACTAAGTTGCGACAGGAACCTGTCGCATTCGATGACGGTTTTGCCGTCATAGCGGAGGGGGAGAAGGAGCTTCAGGGTCTCCTTGTTGGGGGCGGCTGCAGGGGAGGACATTATCGGCGTTGGGGGGGACAGAGGACGCTGTGGGGGCGGAGGCGGCTGTGGTGGCCTTCCGCTGGTCGAACTTCGAGAGGAGCGAGTGCTCGAGCGGCCTCTCAGTGGAGTCGGCGGTGAAGGCGCCGAAGGAAGTTCGGCGGCGGGGTCACGTACATCAGGGACTGCTGACGCGGGGGCGAGCGCTGTCGGCGAGGCGGACCCAACAGAATCCTCGGACTTGGACTCCGAGACTCCTTCTTCACCCTCACCCTCCTCAGGCTCAGGCTCTGGCGCAGGGTCTGGAGGGAGATCTCCTCGCGCTTGACCGGGATCGGCGATGACAGTTTGAGGGAGGCGGGAGCTAGGGGAGACAGGGTGAGAGTGCCGCGAGGCCGATCGAGATGCGAGGGTGCTTCGGGGTCCGAGCGGGTGTTGCGCTCGTCGGATCGCTTTGTAGCGCGGGTAGTCTTCTGGGATCGATCGGGGTGTTCGGTTCGGGCACGGTTGCTGCTTGCAATGGTAGATGATAGTCTCAGGACCGTCTGGAATGTAGACGTCGATGAGGTCCTGTGAGTCGAATGCATGGACTTGGCCTTGGCAGGCAGCCACGTTGGATGGGGGGAGGAAGGGGAGGTGCGCGTACTACGAAAGGCCGTGCTATACTAGCTTACACCTACGGCGCCTGAGATAACACTAAGGTTCGCAGTTCACGTGGGGCCCAGTACTGCTTTTGACTATTATGCAGCAGGAACCTAAGCCACGCGTCCGTGAGGACAAGTATCGCCCACTGAAGTGCAGATACCAAAGAGTTCGTCCCTTAAGTGGTGGCGATGTATCGTATGCTATCTACGTATCGTAGGGTACAGTAGGGGTGTGCACCACCCAACCTATAGGAAGTGAGTGTGTTCCAGTGAACGCCGGCAGTGGTGAGGAGTTTCGACCTAATGTCGCAACTTAGGGTCAAGCGACAGGAGAAAACCAAACAAGGCGCTGGGGGCGTTCGACTTAGTTCTCACTGAAGCGATGGTGAGTGAGGCTCAAACCTAAGGCTAGGGACAAGTAAATGTATTGGTTAGTTAGGTAAGAAAGGAATACAAGTGAGGGCTTACTGACCTAGGGACAAGAGGTCAAAACTGAGGTCCCTAGGGCAGCAGAGGGCAGTTTATATACATGGGGAGATTAGGGCAGGCTGTGCGCGTTGGTCCGTGCGCAGCTGGTCCATGCACAGCATGCCGACGCGGCCTCGGGGGCCGGTGAGTCAGAGCGGCTGTGTCAGCGGAGCCCGAGCTGTGCCGTGCGCTGCCGCCCCATCTAATCTAATCGTACAGTAGATAGCGACGCGTCCATATCGGGCATGTAGTACAGAGGTCGCGGGTTCGAGCCCGCGAAAAGGAAAAATTTAAAAAACGGCTAGACGCCGTACCAACTCGTGACAAATCCATTCTCATAGTTCCAGTCCACAAGGGACTTGCTGAATTCCCTAGGACCTGACTTCAGCAATTGCTGATAATTCTTGGTCACATCGTCTTGTAGGAGTGCTTCCTTCACTTCCCTCAGGAGTTGATCGTCATTAACGGGCGACTCATGGGAGGCCTCAACTGCATTGATTGCAAAAAACTCCGGTTTCAACAAAGTTTGATCCCGATTATCGAGGTTCACCCCCTCCTCATGGTCTGGCCTCCTGGACAGAGGTCGGCGGTAAGC